AATACATGGCCCAGGTGTTGTTGTTCCTAGAAGATGGCTTGGCTAGTAACTGTTGAATTAATTAAAATTGGAATATTATTAAAAAATAAAAAAGCATGTCTCTCATTGTCTATGTCAGCTCCATTGCTCAAGCTACTCATCTCAGCCTTTTAATTCCTAGGTAATTCCTAGAACCCCACCCCTCTTCTTTCTGGAATCTTAAGCCTTTTGCTCACTAGCAGCCAATTTTGTCTTCATATATATGTGGATCTATCCTGTCATCTCCTTCAAAAGCTTTATCTTGGGTCTTCTGCTCCTATCTTATTTCTTTCCTTCCCATATGAGATCTGTGTCATATTTCCAATAATCTTGTACCTGTTCCTAACACTAATTTCTCTTCAGTAATCCCCTGCAGTTTTTTTTTCCTCTCCTGGAGGAGAGAGCAGCTGTGGGATCCCTTGCAGTTTGATTTCCAGCAATGTAGTCAATGAGAAATGCTCAGAGCAAGGGTGCCAAGTGACTTTCTTCTAATACTATTCAGCAGCATTTCCTCATTTCATTTTCCATGACATTTTTGCTTAATTTAATACAATTTATGGATTCATAAAACCCTTCCTCTTACAGTGTCTATGCAACAATGGCATTCCACCTTCCATCCATGGCAATGTGAATCCATCAATATTATATTTAGACTTTTACTCTTTTTCACCTCCTCAAAAATCCATATGCTCAGGCTTCCAAAATCACCAATTGGATATCCAATATCACCAACTCTTTCTCAAGTTAGTCAACCAACAGTCTTTCTGATCAATCTCCATCTTTTTATTGAATCCACCATCCATTTACTTGTCTTTAGATTCTTTGCCATAGTCACTCCATCTCTGTGCCTTGACTCATGTAGCACAGTCCATGTGGAATGCCTTCCCCTGCTCCAATCTCAATCCAATGTACCCATCCTTCAAAGTTGGCTAAAGTCCTGATTCTTCCCTTAGGCCTTTGCCAAGCATTGCAGTACAGTAAAGCCTTTGTCTAAAATCACACTAGACTTGCAATCTTTGTGACAACATGGTACCTCCTAATCATCTGCAGTTACCTGAAATATGTAGACTTTGTTTTACCAACTATCCCTCTGAAAAAAGCCTGAAAAAGATTTTATTCCAACAGCCTAGCTGTGTGCTGGACATACAGAAGTTGCTTAATGAACTTGTTTAATGGCTTAATACTAAACAAGTACTATTGAAACAAGTAATGATTGCAATATCATTGCATTGATAACTCCACTTTAAGTGAAACCAGTATCTTTAATGGATTACTTAGAAGGCCATAGGCATTATGACATAGTGGTTAAGAGAATAAGCCCAGATTGGCTAAGTTCAAATCCTGGCTCTGTCACCTATTGGCTAAGTAAGCTTGGGAAGATTAATTAATGTCCTTGTGCCTTCATTTCTGTTCCTGAAAGGAAAGAGTACCTACCACGTGCAATCATTGTAAAGGTATAATGAGTTATGTTAGGTATGTTAAATACTTCAATTTCTGGCATTAATGTCATTCATGAATGACAATTTCATTCATTAATGTCAAATGTTATTATATGCTCACATGTTTATGGCATATAGAGTGATAGCATCTCAGAGCTAAAAGAACATTTGCTTTATAAGCGAATGAGTTGAGGAAGTAAGGTAAAGTGATTGGCACAAAAAGGTTATATAGCTAATTGGAGGCTCAGTCAGGAAACCAGCTGTCCGGACTTCCATTCAGTGTTTGAAGTCTTCCTCTCCAAGGATTCTACATCTGAACATGGAATTGAATTATGGAAGTTAAAAGTTGAAAGGGACATTCAGGGCTCTCTAGTTCAACTTTCCCTAAGGGATCACACTACATGATTACTTGTCACAAGCCTTTCATCTTTGCTCACAGCACCATTTCACAGATGCTTACTCATCCAGTTATAAAGATCCTAACAGAACCTGCACCGTGGCTCCCAAGTTAAGAAAAACATGAGGGATAGGAATAGATGCCAAGGTCAGGTCCCCTGAGTTTAGATGACTATCACTACATGAAGTCATTTTACCCATCTTTTGAAAAATATTTCTTTTTCAGGGAAAATATTGTCTGGAATATTCATTAAAAAGCTGTGATTCAGGTCATCCCACACATACGTGAATGTTTTGCAGATAGTATGCTTCCTGGTAGAAATATGAAATGATTTTGATGAACTCTGAACAATATACTTTAGCAGCCAGGAAAAGACACTGGAGCCAAATACCCATACCAGGCATAATTCCTGAAGGTTTCAGCTTTCTGTACGGTTCTCTGGAACAATATTCAGCCTGGTTGTGAAATCAACCCCACTAGGGCTTTAAAATTCAATCTAGCAAATACAGATTCTCAAGAGGGGATGCAGCAATAAAAGATCGCAATTAAATAGGCACAAATAAACCTGTGAGGGTTCTCTCATCAGATGCAATAGCATGCTATTCTCTGTCTTAATTCAATGCTAAGAGAAGAGATTTAATTTCCCTTTAAAGCAAATGAAGTTGCTATATGTAACAGCACCAATAAGGAAGAAGGCTGAACCAAAGAATTATGCGTCCACAAGGAAAGTGTACCTCTCTCAACCCCCTCCACCGTACAAACAAGACTCAGGGGAATCCACATTCTCTGTGCAGGGTATTTAAATTGCCTGATTGTAGTATATGGACTTGGAATTTTATGGCTTGAAATGTGAACCCTCAAAACAGGGAGGTCCCATTATTTGAATCTGAAAGTTAAATTACATTCTGTTTACTGAAAACTGAACAGATAACCTCCACTAAATCCCACAGAGGAGGCATCATTCCTGCTCTGTGCTTCCATAGAATTTTATTTATATCTCTAATTTTACTTAAGATAATCGGAATTGTTACACCTGATTGTAAGTCTCCTTTGTAGAGGATAAACTCCTGAGGATAGAATTTATGTTTTATTTATCTCTGTATTCTCCCAGACCCTTTCAGTGCCTTGAATACAGTAATCAATAAATATTTTTATATTTACTTTTAGTAATACATATATTAAGCATTTTCCAGTTACACAGTATTATTAATGGATTCCACCTTTGACATACTTTTTCCTCTCTATCTCTGAGAACTCTTGCCTTTGAAACATGACAAAAGATTTCAGCAGATTGACAAAGTAATTTAGATGGGTATGTAAATGGTAAGGGAGTGCCTAACAATTTTTTTGGTTGAATTGTAACTTTATGAACATTTGCAGAGGTTTCCTTTGAGCTCTCAGTTGTTTAAGGGAACCCATCTATCTTAGTTGGGCAAAGGAAAGGAGAAAACTCAGAGGAATGACTGAGAGAGTATTTAAGAAAGACTACTGTGACTTCTAGAAAAAAGACACAGCAACTCTTTACTCCAGGACCCACTAAGCATGTTAGGATCATGACATTTCCAAGGCCTACCTTTTAACTGTTTTTCTGAAAAGCTGTCAGTTTGATGTTCAAGAAACATTTAGTGCACGCCTATTGGACACACAGACACAACTGGCTGTGTGATTTTCAGGGCCCGTTTGACAATAAAAATGCAGAGCCCCTTTTCCAAAAATTATTAAGAATTTTAAGATGATAACAGCAGGCGTGGGCCCTTTTAAGCACAGGGACCTATGTGACTGCAGAGGTCTCACTTCTATAAAGTTAACCTTTTCCTGTCTTCAGAGAGCTTCCTGTAGTGAAGGGCAAAAGGTCTGTATCTAGAGATAGAAGCTACAATTCAAGGATGTACGAGGGGCCACAGGAACCTAGAAGTTCCTAACTTTGTAGATTCATCCCAGGGAAGGTGACAGTTAAGTTCACTTTTGAAGGGGTAGGGAAGAAACATATTTCATACCAAAGGAAGGCAGTATTCACCTGTTAAATTTCAGGAATAGGGTTACTTTCAAGGAGGGTGGGGTGGTTGACATGAGGATGACATAATTGATATTGAGAGTGCAAAGAGGCAGAGGCCAAGTATTGGGTTGGCCAAAAAGTCCATTTAGTTCTTCCTGTAAAATAAAGACACATTTTTCATTTTCACCAATAACTTCATTAATTTGGATAGTTTGAGTGTGTCAGCTATCTCCTGTTATTGGCTTCTAGTGGGTAGAGGCCAGGGGTGCTGCTAAACATCTTCCAATTCATAAGACAGCCCCACAGCAAAGAATTATTTGTCCAAAATGTCAAGAAACTCTGCAAATCACTTTTGACATGTACAATCAGTCACAGCACCTTCTTCATACACTGAACAAATCTTTTCTTATGTTTCACTTGTGTTTTTACCTTTTTGAAATAGTAAATCATAATATGCTGAAATGTTGTATATCTTCTTCCATCTTCAATATTAAAAGGGCTGAACAAAAATCACCAATTTTGATATTTTTAAATGCATGCTGATATGACAGCTGTCACAATACAGTATAATAAAATTGTTTTGAATGAAATTAAAGAGAACTAAGCACGACTAGAGCCATCGTGTGGAAAAAAGTAGGTGAATTTTTTTGGCCAATTCAATATATGGGGGAAGAGGTTGAACAGTTATTAAATGCCTAATGAATGCCAAATTTGTTTCCCCCATGTCATAATTTTAAACACAACAATCTTGTAAACGAACTATCTTACCTATTGTACAAAGAGGTTAGTTTAGGCACAGGAAGGAAAGGTTCAAAGGGTCTGGAATACATTAGGCATCCAACAAATATTTAAGGAATTACTGGTGGGTGTGACTTAAGTTCCAGGACTCCTAACCCCTAGGCCAAGCTTCTCCTAAACCTGCTTTTTATTCATCACAGGTCTTTTCTGCTTCTCTGCAGAGTCCAAAAGTACCCACCCTGCCCTTCCCTCGCCCCGCCCTTCCCTTCCCTCGCCCCGCCCTTCCCTTCCCTCGCCCCGCCCTTCCCTTCCCTCGCCCCGCCCTTCCCTTCCCTCGCCCCGCCCTTCCCTTCCCTCGCCCCTCCTCTGATTTCCACCTGCCGGAAACTAGGTGGCAAAAGTACTTCCGGGATAGCAAATGTTGGCCCTGGCAAGATGGCGACCCCCTTGGAGCTCAGTTGCTGGGGAGGGGGCTGGGGGCTTCCATCAATACACAGTGAATCCTTGGTGGTAATGGTGAGGCCAGGGGCATGAAAGAGGGGGCGGGGCAAGAGGCGCGACGTTAGCTGTGCTGGGTACAGGCGGCTGGTAGTGGTTCCCTGTCCCGCAGGGGCCACCCGTGGCGCTCGCTAGCTGCATGCACTGCCTTGGGCTCTATGTAGTTGAAGAGTTACAATCCAGCCTGTGACCCTACCGAGACGTAGGGGGAGACCCGTGGCTTCTCCGCTAGGACTGGAGCTGGAGTTATTCTCAGTCTTGCAAAGCTATCTGGGCGGTGGAGTGAAAGTTCGAAGCAGGGAAGCTCGCGAGAGAGCGTGCCCTGCTCTGCATCTTTATCCCGCCCCCCTTCGCGTAAAGAGGTTTCTGAAAGCCGGGTAGTGGCCAGCGTGCTCCCCTGGCTAGAGATCGGGGAAAGGACGCACCCCCTTGCCTTCGGGGAACCAGGCCGTGAAATAAAGCAGATCTGCAGATTTGCATTACGTACTCAGTCTAAAATATTTTATTGCAAACTCTGTTTCAGGCTTACGCCAAGTTTTCTGGTGCACCCTTGAAAGTCAATGTCATAGATAACACCTGGAAAGGTTCAAGAGGTACAGTGTAAACTTCAAACACCCCTTCGGCTCTCTTTAAGGGCCTTCGCCCTTACCCCCTTTAAAGTTCTGAGTCATATGGCCTTGATTTCGTTTCTTTTTACTGTGACCTTGGCTGGTGTAGCTTATGGTTTTATCATTCTGTGTAATACTTAAAGTGCAAGCCAAATCAGAGGAAATTATGAGAAATGTAAATGTTCTCTAGCACTGCTCTTTGTGAAATTGCAGAAAACTAAGATAACAACTTACTTTTTTTCCCCCTCCAATGGCGATTGGTAGAGTTGAGTATTGGAATCTTTAAGAGGGAATAGAAATGTTTCTTTGTATGTAAACTGTTTTTTGATTGTAGGAGATGTACCAATTTTGACAACTGAAGACAACATTGTTTCTCAACCGGCAAAAATACTAAACTTTTTAAGAAAACAGGTGGGTGGTTCCTTTAGAAAAAGTAGATTGTTGATCCCTGCATATTGCTTTAAAAAATACATTGTAAGGTTTGTGGATTTTTTTCAGAAATTCTTTTTTGGAAGGTTTTCTTTCTGTTTTCATGGGGGAAAATAGAAAAGTCAAGTCACTAGACAATTGGAAGATTTTCTTTCTATTTTCATGGGGGAAAATGCTACCAATTAGAACTTTTTTTTATTATCAACAATAACAATAACTTCTGTTCAGTTTGTACAGAACTGATCATTAACAATTACTGATATAACAGTGAATAAAAATTGTGACAGTTATAGACTTTATTGTGTGCATGATGCTGTGCTAAGAACTTTATTTGCATTAAGCAGCATTTGCCACTAACTTTGTATTTCTCTTTCTCCCTTTTAGTTTCATGTTTGCTATTTTTGAGGAAGAATAAATAGGAATTGTAATTTATTTAGCTTCACTGTTTTGGGATGCTCTTGACTTCTGAGGGGTTTTTGTTTTATATTTTTTAATAGAAATATAATGCTGATTATGAACTCTCAGCAAAACAAGGGGCAGATACACTGGCTTACATTGCTCTCCTTGAAGAGAAGCTTCTTCCTGCAGTGGTGAGCATTGGTGAATATTACAGTATTTTAATGATCTACTGAAAATGTATTTATTTAGAAGAAAAATGATAAAAAAGGCTTAAGAGAGGAAATTTCATTTATGCATTAACCTTGATTCCTTCATTTCCCTGTGAAACTGGATTCTGTTAGCATTCTACTAGTATGAGAAACAATAAAGTAAAAGATAATGTCGTTTGGAAATGAGTCTTTGTGGAAGATGGAGTTTGTTGCTCCTTGTATAGAATTGGGTAAACTGTAATCCATTCATTCAGCAAAGATTAATTGAGCACCTACTGTATGCTAGGCCTTGTTCTGGGTGCCTGGGATATAGTGATTTAAAAACCTCACATGTAAAATCTTGTTTAATCCTTGAGTCTTTCTAACTAGAAAATTTGTATGAATTCACTGTATACAAAGATATTTATGAAAAACTTGCACATCAACTGAGTGATCTTTTAATAAAAGAACATCTTTGTAGTGTTTGTTCTCTTTTTTTGCAGCTTCATACATTCTGGGTTGAGAGTGAAAATTACTTTTCTGTGACAAAGCCATGGTTTGCTTCACGAATTCCCTTTCCCTTGAGTTTGATCCTTCCTGGAAGAATGTCTAAGGGAGCACTGACCAGGATTCTCCTGACCAGAGGACAGCCTCCCCTCTACCACCTCCGAGAAGTGGAAGCACAGGTATGGTCACTATTGCTGTCAGAGCCGGGGCCTTCCCGAGGAGGGATGAGAGATAGCGGAGACGGGTTTATCTGTAGTTACCTGCCTAAAAAAGGAGTCGAGAGCATCCTTCCTATCTCTGAGATGTAATGTCATCCTTATTAGATATACAGAGATGCCAAGGAGTGCCTGAATCTTCTGTCAAACAGATTGGGGACATCTCAGTTTTTCTTTGGAGATACGTGAGTGCATGCCCTTAAAAATCATTTTGATGCTTTGTGTGCATATTTTCAGTGAGCACTTATTCAAAGTAAGTGCCCTTGTCCTCTTCCTCCCCCATTGAGTTTTTCACTTAAAAAATATGTAATGAGCCCTGGCTGGTGTAGCTCAGTGGATTGAGTGCAGGCCTGCGAACCACACGATCGCGGTTCGATTCCCAGTCAGGGCACATGCCTGGGTTGCAGGCCAGTTCCCAGCAGGGGCCAGTTCCCCAGCAGGGGATGCACCAGAAGCAACCATACATTGATATTTCTATCCCTCTCTCCTTCCCTTCTTCTCTAAAGATAAATAAATAAAATCTTAAAAAAAAAAAAACGTAATGGGTTTTTACCGTGGGAAACTTTCCATTGGCGGTAATCTCACATTGACTTACTGCACTGCACTGGTACATTGAGAACAGCGAGACTATTCCCACCCCGTCTCCAATCCCTCCATAACACTTGTGAGTGAAAATGAATCTTTAATTTACAACTGAATTTTCTTGGAAATAAAATAAATGGTTAGAGTATTAATAAAAAAACAAGTAAAATCCTAGTTGCATCATATTATAAGCTAAAGTGGGTGTAAACTTTGAAAAAGACTATATTGTATACTTCAGAACTGACTAATAATGTACTTGAGATTTTTTTTTAATAATGCCAAATATTTTCTAATGTGCTTTTTAAAAAATGCTTACTTTGTTTTTAGGCCTTCTACCTTGGATGCCTATGTGTTTGGTTTTCTCGCACCGCTGTATAAAGTCCGCTTCCCTAAAGTTCAGTTACAGGAACATTTGAAGCAGCTCTCCAACCTGTGTCGCTTTTGTGATGACATCCTCAGCAGTTATTTTAGGCTCAGTCTTGGAGGTAAGTGGGCTCCTCTTCAGCTGGTCTCTGTTCGTATAGAGTAGTGTTTGTCTATTTCCTAATGCTGTATAGCGAGATTTATTACTTATTAAAGAAGTTTGCATATTGTCTTTAAATGCTAATTTGTAGCACTTCAAGAAGTTGCATTTTCCCAACTTTATTTTTATTTTCATATTTTAGTACTTATTTAAATAGAGACATGAATATTTGCTTTTGGTCTCTTCTTTTGGGTTTTATACACTTCTTGCTTCATGTTCTTCTTTAAATATTGCCCCTTTGAAGTGGGTCATTTTCTTTGAAAAAATTAAACCACAGGTGTTTATTGAGGTATTTATTAAGATAGCACTTTTCCTAATACAAATGGGCAATTACTTTAAATGTTGCTTCTAGCATTTTCCTGCGTGAACAGAAATCAGTAGCAGATTGATTTTGGTGAGGTACACCCCCATGATTCCACTACTTGAAAACTGATTGCATCAGATTGGAGGTATAGTAAACAGAGGGCACCTGTCATTCAGGATATGATTCGTTGGGAGTGTGAGACCTTGTGCTTAAGTGATTGGGATACTAAATTTATATTGGGAGAGTTGGCAGAAACTGTCATTTTAAGAAATGGGGGGTTATTAAGGTAGCTGGCTGAGCAACAGTTTATTTTTTATGGGTGGTTATACATTTCATATGTAGGGAGGAGTTAGTATTAATAGTTTGAGAGTCATGAAATTAAGTAATGTTCAACCTTGTTACTTTGAAGCAGTGGTTGGCAAACCTTTCTACAGGACAAATACAAAATCTTGGGTCCTATACCAGATTTACTAAATTAGAGTTTCTTAGGAATAGATCCCAGGAATCTATTTCTTAAAGTCCCTTCAGATACTTTAGATGCCTGTGGATACCTGTTTGGGAGTGACTGCCTTAGACAGCTATCCAAACAGTTGTGACTATTTGACCTATTGGAATGGGTGGGGGAAGGTACGACTTGGACCCGAGGAGGAAGCGAGGACTGCTGTGCTCGCTCACCAAGTACTTGGCCGGTTGCATCACACTCGGCCAACAGGGTCTACTTTGTGGACAAACTTGGTCCTTTTGTTTATGCTTTGGTTTTGGAGCATTACTTTGCCACCTGAGTTTATCTTTGAACCCAGAATAGTTTTTTTTCTTTGCCTTTTTTTTGGAGGGTGGTCCACGTGGGAGGGTGGATAGACTCAAAAGTCTTTTAATCTAAACAGCTTTAAAGGCTTTCAGATTTTCCTGTCTTTCTGACTTCTGTCCCTGGCTTCCTAGGCATCTCTCCTGCTGGACAAGAAACGGTAGATGCAAATCTGCAGAAACTCACACAGCTTGTAAATAAGGAATCCAACTTGATTGAAAAGGTCAAGTTTACTTCAATCATTTGTAATAGTAATTTAGTATTTTTCCGTTCTGCGATTAATATTGTAATTTGGGTTATGAATTAACTTTACCCTCTTAATATTTTCAGAAAACTTTAAAAATATACATTTACTGAAGTTGTGTAGTGTAATACAGTATTTTGAAGCCAGAAGTGGCCTGATTGCTTTGGGGGGAAGATCTGATAACACGATTGGGTTTCCTTTTGCCACACAATTAGTATTTTTCAGGTTAGGAGACCCAGAAGCCTGGCTTAAAAAAAGAAAGGACAAAACAGTTCTCGCTTGTCTGCTTTTGTCTCTGAAGGTTAATACTTCTTGAGATCGGAAGCATCCGAGCTTATCCTTTCTTGTTAATTGTCTTACGACATCTTGTTCTTCCACATGAACTGTGTCATATTTTCCCCTTCTTATCTTTTTCTTTTCTAAATGTCGTCCACAGTTTTTCTTTATCAGTGTGGGTATTTTGTCATTTTGGGGTCGTTCATTTGGTGAGAGTGATTGAATAACTGGGTAGAGGAGAGCCAGCGATGGAAATTTTAAGGGTGATTCTTACTGAAAAAATACAAGAGAATTATGCATTTCCCCCCAAGTGTCTGGTAAACTTGCTTTTAATACTTCATTCTTTCACAAACCAGTGGGGCCATGCAGCCTAGTAACACCGGCCAGCAGTGACAGGCACTGTATTATGTGCCCTTTATATGAGTTACCTCATCGAATCCTCACCGCAGCTCTGAGTCCATGTCCTCTATCCTCCCTGTTTTACAGAGGAGGATGCTGAGGCTTCAGGAGTAGCTAGTGTCACCTACGCAAGGTCATTCGAGTGACGAGTTTGAGGCGTTATTTGAATCCTAGCAACTGGACACCAGTATGGGCCTTGCAGTTAATCAGCCAACTAACTCGTGAATGAGATTGTGTGTGTATTGATAGTAGTAGCATAGTAGCCGGGCTTATAGCTGCCACCCTCTGGAATGACTGTTCTGTTTTTTTATTGTATTTCATTTGTTGTTAGAACTTGAGAAGTAAGTAAAACTGAGCAGTAGAATTGTAAGAGCCCATTATTAAGGTTTGGGTAAACTGAATAAAAACCTAGTTTGTTTTAATTCTTTGTCCACCCCAGTAAATCTCATGAGAGGAAATACATTGAGTGTTAAGTGTGGATAATGGAAAGGTTCCTCAGACTATTTTAGGGCACAGACTATTTTAAACACTTATCTGCTAGATGAAGGCTAGCTGGTATAGTTTCCATCCTCTCCTTTCCTCCACACCCGGCGCACCTCTGCTGAAACACTCCCACTCTGCTTTATGAGAGAGCATTTTGAGAAGATAATCCAAACTCTAAAAAACATGCACATCAACTGGGTAAAAAGATGTTCTATTCTGTTGGTTTTGTGTCTTTGATGGCAGCTGCTTTCAAGTCTTTTACTAAGTTGAGCTGATAGTGAACTCTGCACCAGGACCTGAGTATTTTGCTCTGTTTGCAGGGTGCTCTGGTTAAAGGTAGTTTTCTGAAATCTGACTCAGTTCTAAATACTCGCTCTGCTAGTGCTCCCAGGAATGCTAATGTCTGCCTTAGGGTAAGTCCGAAACTCTGGGGCATTTTCTCACTCTGCTCCATATGAATTTGTTTTTGTAGAGCAGACTTAGAACTGATCCAGCATTTGGAATGCCTCTGAGTTAGGGCTAAAGAGCTTATCCTTGTTTCAGTCTCTTTTCCTAGTTTCCCTTGGTCTAAATACTCTTAATCTGAAAGAGCTGGTCTTGAGTGGAGTATAGGTAACTTTCATTCAGACAGTGAGTCCAAACAATAATAGTGCTGGAATAAGACCCGAGTTCAAATTTTAGCTGTGATACTAACTTTGCAACTGAATGCAAATTCATTAACCATTCTGAGCTTCATTTTGTTAGTCCGTAAAATAGGGGATGATTGTAACTGCTTTCTTTTCTTTCTTCACAATGGTGTTGGGAAGATCAAATGAAATGTTGTGTGAACAAACTTTGTAAACTATGGAGCTTAGTATTAAAGAAGTAGAAGACCTCTTAAACCAAGTCGTGCCGTAGTTGATTTCAGCAGAGTATCCATTTTGTGGAATAACTATAATTTTGTGAAAGCATCAAGATGAGCCATATTGCTTTTGTACATATACTGAGTCAGCTGGTATTTGAAGTATGACATTTAGAATTCTCGAGAGATGATCTGTACGAAAAAGGTTTCTCTGGCATCCCAGACACATATGGTCCTGTGCTGCTCTAGGCTCTGGTTTGGGTGGGGAGGCCACAGTCCACGCAAGTGGAGCCGCAGCCGTTAGTCAGATGTACCTTTTGTACTTCCCACAGATGGATGACAATCTTCGCCAAAGCCCTCAGCTTCCTCCTCGGAAACTGCCAACACTTAAACTGACTCCAGCAGAAGAAGAAAGCGACTCCTTACAGCGGCTGTCACCCTGACAGACACCGCACTTTGTGTCCAGAGTCCCAGGACTGTGGCAGTGCTCTCTTACACCGAGTGTGCGAAGACAGAGAGAAAATGCCATTAATAGGTACTGGAAGACTCGAGCAAGACAAACTTTGTATGATATCTATTTTTTTAAATTAGGAAGCTTGTATTTTAGCTTGGCAATGCACTTTAAATACCATCAAAATAAATACTAAGCGAACTTGGGGAGGGGGGAAGAAAACGCATTGTACTGTATATATTAAAAGAAAAACCTGCCTTAATCGTGGCAGATTTTTGCCTTTGGTTCACATGTTGCTGACCAAAAGCTACAATTCTGTTCTGAATGTGCACTCTCACTTTATTTAAGCTAATTTATAAATTTAGTTTTCTTAGGGCAGTCTGAATGTCTAATATGTGGCTCTTGGGCTGAGGCCTTTTTCTTCTGTTTAGAAATTTGATGCCTACTTTAGACATTAGGAAAAATATATTATCCTTATATTGTATTTACTTCCCTGGAAAAGCCTGTATTTAATTGTAAAAATCATTGAGGAATGTGCTTTTAAATTATTCTCTCATAAGACTAATCTTTTGGGGGTTTAGTACCATATATAAATATTAAAGGTGGTTATATATAATATTTATCTGACTATATGCACTTCGATATTACAATTAACATTTGCTGATATGTTCAATCTAGGTCAGTAAGGGCTCTTTTAGTTTGTTGGGTGAATGTGCCTGCTTTAGACCTATGTATTTGCAGTGTATCTTTAACTCTGGTCATCTCTTTCTTGGATTGATTTCAGGAGGACTGAATGTATTGGCACCGTTATTATGCCAAGCTATAAAGTCTCATTGAAACTTGCTCCATTTGTAGACACTACTCAGAAGGAACTCTCACCAGAGTACTAGAAGTACCTACTATGTGCTGGTCCAAGTTCATCATGCTTGGCTCATACCAATGTTCTTTCATAAGAAGCCTATCATGTATTCAAAAGTTTTATGACAACTATTTTTATGTAGTTTCACTATAGTTGAAGGATCCAGTGGAATAATAGGGAATAGCAGTATGTTTTAAGGATATTTTCTACTTATTGGTTGCTGAACTGTTAAAGGATTTGCTGTGCAAGTAATTTTACTTATAGTAAAATCTTATTTTAGTGGCTGAGGTGCTTCTGTTGACCTAAAACCACTTCTGGGATTTTTAAAATATAGGACCATATTTTTGATTAGTGTCTTAAAAGAATACTATGGTGCTCAGCAAATCTTATCACATTCTTCAGAAACCCACATGTTAAGAAAACAGCTTTGTGGTCCAGACTCATCCAGTTTGAGATGAGTGTAGCTCCGCTGTGTTTGCCCTGCGTCCTCTCAATTTGTTCAGTATTGAGGTAGCTATTTATATAGGAGTCTTTAAGTCCTTGTAAATATTCTTTTTTGAAAGTGAGAAACAAAGTGGTCTTCAAAATCTTGTTTATCTGTTTGGATGCATTTAGGGAGAGTAACTATAATTTCTGCAACAGGTGGAAGAGTGTGTGTGTGTGTGTGTGTGTGTGTGTGTGTGTATAACGTGTTAATCATCTGTTAGTTTCCAACAATCTGAAATCCATATGAATGTTGTGTATTGAAAATCATGACCAGAGGATTTTACTGTCCTCCACGATTGATGATACACATTGGAGGTGGTTGGTTAGCACATCAATCAGACATTTGTTTATGCTTCAGCCAGGGTTAGTCATTTCTAGTTACAATTTCTATTATAGCTTCCAAAAAGCTTTTGAAGTGGCTTAAAACTGTCAAACACATGTAAAACAGGACAATTAAAGTTACTTTTGGAGTGGGAGAGAGAGCTATACCAACCTTTATAGATTATAAAATAGAATGGTAAATTTAATTCCAAGTCTCTCCGAAAGCAAAGTCAAAAGATAATGCTGGATTATGTAAATTTTTCTGTCAATAAAGTAGTAATGCCCATGAATAAGAAAAGTGTGTTTTAGTTTTTGTAAGAATGTGGGAGTTCGTGCTGTTACAACACACAGACTTGAGCCGAGAAGTATCCTGTTCCATGTGTTGCAAGTCTAATCAATGGCGCCGTTTTAAAACAACAAGTATTTGTCTTTTCTAGTAGAGAAGATGACTGTAAACATGACTTATTTCCTTTTGATCATTCCTGCCTTGAACTGCCTTTAGACTTGTACCACATAGGCCGTGATGCTTCCACAGTACTTTTCCTAAGAGGCAAAATGTGGTTTAGACAGGTGGAAACGTGTATGTTGGTGCACCTGGCTGAGCTTTTTTTTTGCATAAGTTCTAACTGAGCACAGACCACTGCAGAGATGTGCTCTTGGAAAGGAACAACATTCCAGACTGGACAGAGCTTGTGATCAGCCTGTCAGGATGTGCTGTGTATAAAGTTTGAGTTTGTTGAGATAAATGGTCTATAGTCTTAAACAGAATGCTATGACCTACTTTCTTTTGGAGTGATGGTGGAAGATAATATAAAAGGGACTACATGTTTATCTTTGTGGCATAGGATTAGAAAACTGGTCAGATAATGCCCGTGTGAATAAGATCCTACATCCACCATCATCAGTTAGCCGTAAGACTGACAATTCTCACAGCACTAAAGAAACTAAAGAACCATGAGGATGTTCATTCCTTCCAGTGCTTTTTACCCCCCCTACAAAGGTAGGCACTGACAAGTAAAACAGATGTCAATTTAGGTATGTTTGTATTATTTTGGGGGGTACTAGAGGATTAGAGATTTTACATTAAACCCAAAGCATTTTAATTGCCATTTGTAATTTCTACTCACTCAATATTGCTAGATATGAGGGGGACCAAAAAGAAAACCTCCCTGGAATTTATTGATAAAAACTGTGGTAAGAATAGTAAAACTGTTGATCAGAATAATAAATATTCTTACGTGTTTAAACTTTAGTCCCCTTCAAAGTAGTCTCCATTTGATGCAATATACCTATTGAGAAGTTTTTTCCACTGCTTGAAACAGTTTTGAACTCATCAATTTTGATGCCTCTTAGTGCTTCTGCTATTTTTTGTTTCACCTCTTCCACATTGGCAAACTGTTTCCCTTTTAGAACTTCTTCATCTGGGCAAACAAAAATAAGGTCTCTGGGGGTGAGATTGGCTGAGGGAGGGTTGGGGCCATTATTGCCACTTTTGGTCAAAACTGCTGAACACCTTACTGTGTGCTCCTAAATCACCCACCATGAAATGGGCAAACATGCTAAAAGAATCTTTGAAAAAAATTTACTGAAGCTGACACAGCCTCTCACAACAATGCCAGCTGGCACACTGATACAAATGGGTTCCTAGAACACCTAATGGGGGAGGCCTGTATTACAAGGGGCCCACCCTCCAAAAAATAATTCTGGATGCTTTTTTGGGTCACCCCTTGTAGATAAACATGAAGGAATGGAGAAGCTTATTTCAGTCATAGCTAAGTTATAATTTTCAGAAGTCTGCAAAAATGAAAAAAAAAAACGTCAAAAGAGTCAAAAATTGTTAAGGGTGAGAGTATTTCAGAAAACTAATTTTTTAAAAGATAGCCTCATGTGATAAAAGTTTGAAGTCAGTAGTATATTTTCTTAGAGCCTCTTCCAAGAATATACATTTCCTAGATCTATTGATAAACTGTCAAAAATGTTAATCCTTTAAAACCAAAATATAAATGCTTAAATACAAAGACAAAAAGCTGAGTGATGGATGCACAGGATTTCACTATATTTTTTGCAATTTGTGAGTCTGTAACTACTTTAAAATAAAAGGGTTTTAAAAAGTAAATTTAATAGAATAAATTTATCATTATCTACATAAACTATGATTTAAAATTTAATGCTCCAAAGATAGTATCCAGTATCCAATTCCAGATGAATAAATACATACTATAAGTTAAATATAATTTATTTCATTTTGAGTTTAAAGAAACAAGCAACTCCAGTTTGTGACAAGTGCTTATCAGACCTCTTTTGCTTTACCAGGAAAAACAACGACACCCCCCCCCAAACATCCTAAACCAAGAACTCCTATTCCCTAGGATATAAAAAAATTCTACAATTTTATGTTGATCATGATATCTTTTTCTTCCTAGGGTACCTGGGGTTTACCTTGGTAGTTAAATAGTTACCTCAAGGAAACTATTTTGCCTTGAGGATAAAATAGTTTGAAAAACTTCCCGTGTATCCAGGTGGTAGCCCTTGGCTTTGCAGGTGTCACCTGTCTAACTGCACAGTGTGGCGGGGAAAACACAGGGGCCGGGCTTTAGTGGAGGTGCTGCATGTCTGTGAGCTTTTGGTTCTAAGCTCACAGCGATTTCATAGTTGACTTTGTCTTGGTTTGGCTATTTATATCATTGAACTCCTGAGCAGAGCCTCAGATTACAGATGGGTTGTGATGATGGTCTTTTGTATATGTTGTTGGTGTTAAGAATTTCGTCTTTTGCCTTTTTTCTTGTTCGGCTCTGTGGAATTTACATTTATTCTCAGTGTTTTCATACTTCCTAAACAGATCGTTAAGAAATTTGTTGTTACCTGAATCAAAGGTCAATAATTCTAGCATCCTCACAGGTTTAATTGAAGTTTCATTAGATCTTCGAAAAGCTGATTTTCACGGAGTTGTTAAGATGGAGTTTGTTTTTTTCAAGGGTGTGAAAGATAATTCAGCCCAAAACTCTGTTGGGAGGAGTGTTTTCTAGGAGCCCAGGTTACCTGCCCTAGATTCAGAACTGTTGTGATGGAGGCGGAGAGGCAGGCTCAGAATCAAAAACAACGGCGATTATTTGTGCCGGTGAAGAGGCCAATGACGGGAGTTAACACTCTTGAACAGTGACTGTGAGAAAAAGTAACCTTGACTTGGACATTTTTAAATAGAGAGAAGTATGGGGATTTTTTTAATGGTAGAAGAATATTCAGAGTAAAACAAAGCCGTTTCTTTATAAAAATATAGGAAAATATGTCCTTTTATATACTCATTGTTAATTTGAAATTCTACTGTAAGATTAAAAAATTCTTTTAGTTCATTGGAGAAGTGGTTCCTAAAGGTGTGTTTTGGCAGAATATATTGTTGTATGGATAGAGAGTCAAATAGATTGGGGAAGAGTTGGTTTAGATGGAAGTTACTGCAGGCTGTTCAGAGCTTGGATGCGCCATTGTGTGGTTTCGGTCTCCAAGCAGGACCTGTGTTTCAGACGTCATTTCCCTAATTTATTTTTACGTGGATTTGTTCTTCACATTTTTTTATTGTTGTTCAAGTACAGTTGTCTCCACTTATGTGGATTTTTTAAAAGTAGGTGTCTTAATGAGATTAGTGTTCTGTGAAATACACTTAGGGAAATGCTACCCCAGAGTGTTTTTGCTTGTTTGCGCTTATTGCAAAGGCTCCTGGTTGGGTGCCTCAACGAGTGGCCAGAAACAAGAAGAAACAGGTCAGGACTCCCTGGGACCATGGGGTTGAAGAAGGGCAGCTTTGGCCTTTGAGGTTGGTGAGGCAGGTATACGTGAGGCCCCTGGGCAGCTTGTGAACGGGTGGTTTTGGAGAAGTGCCCTAACTGGTGCATAGGCATCTAGGAGACGGAGAGAACCGGCTTGGAATTCCAGAACCATCTTCTAAACTGTTTTTGGCTGTCAAAAATGCAACGTTTATAGCACCAAAGTCAACTATAAGCTGGCTATTTTTGCACGTGCATGCACACACAAGCATGCATTGTGTCCTGGAAAGTTTATAGGTGTCTCAGGAACAAAGCAAAGGAAGGTTAATGTTTTCTATGCCTAAAGGCATGGTCTACACAAGGGCTGTGTGGTTTTTGTGTGCATTTTGTAGCAAATGGGTTTATAGGTTTCATTAAATTCCCAGCAGTTTCTATATCCCCCAAATTTTAAACTCCACTGACCTCCAAATTTCAGAGAACTAAGTATGTTGGATTTCATTTCCATGAAATCAGATTACCAATCAGGCACTAGGGCACTTCGGTTTGCTTTCTGCCATGTAGACAGTTGCAGATTTGGAACACTATGCTTTGGATGTGCATTTGAAAGAAAACTTGCCCTTGGGTTTGAGTTGTGTAATGGTGAACATCTAGTCACGTGGAAAGCAGTTGGACCTTTGTTCTGATTCCTCCTCGTGCAGATTCAGAGAAATGCCTTTTAATCATTGGGTTTATATATCCCAGATCCTTGGAAGTCGGGAAGAACGAGCTGCCAGGGTTTGCATCAGTCCCCTGCGAGCCGTGTACTATAGCGAAGGCTGTGCTGGCCGCGCCTTCCGCGGCCTGCTGGCTCCTTCTCCTGCAGGCTGGCATCTGTGTTTCTTGGCAAAGGAAGGGTGCACTGAAGCTTTTATGTTAATTGCATAAAGATGAGCTTTTATTTACTTTACGTCTTATTTTGTAAAATAGAAAATACTGTCTCTCTATTTTTCTATTTATCTTGAAGTGGAAACTTGAGGTATTTGGAATGTAACTTCAGCTTTCTGGAAGATGGACAGCAAAGAAGGTAAATAAAAAAATGTATGTTTATATATATGGTGGCTTTGTTCCACCAAGCCTTGAATGGTAAACATTTTAAACATCTGTTCTAGTGTACAAATACTATACATTTGTTACAAACAATCTTAAAATAAGCATTTTTGGTCATAATTTCAACATTCTAGCAAGTCTAGTATGACTGTATGTTACTGAGAGATTGTGTATGAAAACCCAGAAGTGGTGGTGATGATTAGTATTATAAATAATTTATTCTGTCAAATGAAAAACTGGATATAATGTCAGAAAAGCTGTTTTCACAATAAAATCTCAGATTCACTGGATGTTTATTAAATACTGATTTGATGTTATTTATTCCTTGAGGTGAATTTTTGGATGGTCACAAACAGTTATTCAGTGTTGGGACTGAGCTAGATCAGGGATTGTTCTTAAAGTGTTCATCCTGTGATGTATCGAGGTCACTTGGGCCCTTTCTAGCCCTTGCTAAGGGCGGGCAGCGGCCTGCTCCCTGGGCCTCTGGGAAGTGTGTGACTCAGACGACAGTTGAGTCAGGGTGACAGTTATGTCATCCTGGGGCTCTACAAGTTTTTGAAAAGTTTCCCTTTGCCCGCTTAGATAGTTCAGCAGTGTCCCATGTCACTGAATGGAAGACATATACTGAGAAAAAATAGTGCAGTTTTAGTGAGGGGGGAAGACATGTTTTTTGGTGCGTTTTTTTTTTTTTTTAATGGGAAGGATATATGGATATAGAGAACCCTGGTAGAGCTGGTCAAGGAAGGGCAGGTTCCCTGAGAGGATATGTTTGTTAGTTTATTTTTAATTGAGGTATAATACACATACAGTAAAATGCATCAGTCTTCAAGTAGAGCCATTCAGGTAAGGAAGCACTGTATTTCTCTCACATGGGAAACAAGCTATCTCCAAAGAACACAAATCCCAATCGAATGCGAACCTTGGGTCCCAGATGAAAGGTCCTTGGGTGGATTAAGGTGGGTGATGGTGATCACTTATCTTCAGCGAGAGAGCAGGAAAGGAGTCACAAATCTGAGAACCATACCACAAAGCACTTCAGAAACTTGGTTCTTAATTGCTCAGCTCAGAGGCTTGACTTTGGTCTGGTACTGCTGGGGGTGCTCAGAAACTCCTGGATAACTATTTAGCATGATACCCTTCAGTGGATGGTAGGCTACACGATACACAGTGCTCTGTTTTTCTTTGCCACTAAGAACAGCTATTGGTAGGAAAACTTAAGTTTTTCCATATTGGGATCTTGGCCTAAGTGAATCCACATAGGAGGAAGATTGAGATAAAGGAACCATTTAGGTCACTGATAATGATAACTGGATATTTGAGTGCTGCCCCGCATATTGGAGATAACTGGATCTGAGAACGAGAAGGAAGTGGTGGGAACACGTAAGAATGTGCCTTACTCAAGGTCATCTTGTAATGAAGTTCCTACTTGTAGAGCAAAGGAGAAACAAGTCCCTTCTTGATCTCACTGACGAGACTTCAGGAGAAAGGATGAGAAACTATGGTCCATTCTCTAGGTACATTAGTCAGCCCCCTGGAATGCGTTAGACATGTGTGATTAAGAAATGAAGACAGCTGTGCACCATCAAAGACATTTCTAATTTCTAGCACTGCCAACTCAAGGCTCCAAACATACTCTTCCAAGTGCGAGAGAGGCTATTATACTTATTCTACTTTTTGAGTAAGTGAGGCAAAAGAATAGGAAAATGTGAACATTTATGAATACATTTAAGGATTGGTTCTTCAAATCCTAGTTTGGGAAAGGTGGTCCTTTCAAGAATTCTCATTGCAAAAAAGTTAAGAAATCTTACTATGTGGAAGAAAGTATAACACTTTCCAAAGGAAAGGCTTACCTTATCACAAGTAAGGCCAAACAGATTTTAGTTTTATTTCAAGTGCAAGAAGCAAACTGACTTATTTGAAGGCCACCAGGTTGTGCCTATTCTGGTACATATTGTCCCCGTTTTTCCCTGAGGGGGGCATTGCCTTTTTTGTCTGTCT